TACAGCACCAGGAAAGGCCTTCAGTATGGGGTGGGCGACGCCCTCATCTTCTCCTGTTTCCCGGGTTACAGGCTGGAGGGTCCGGCCAGGGTGGTGTGTTTAGGAGGCAGAAGGAGAGTGTGGAGCTCCCCTCTGCCAAGGTGTGTAGGTAGGTGGTCCAGTACTTTACTCTTTACCCCAGCTCTTCACAAATTAGGCCGTTTACAAACGTACTAATCATGTTTGTGGCGTTCTGCTCATTACCGTCTCTCCGTACGCCCACGCTTTGTCTCGCTATTGGACAGCTTCCCAGAGACCGCCTGTGTGACTTTGTCCAAATTATATAGGGCAGCAGCTTTAACGAGAATGACATGAAAAAGCTGAAAAACAGTAATTATTGGTGCTACTTGTTTTTTAATGCTTTGGGAAATGGCAGGTCAAGATGTGGGTCGCTGTGGTGGTTTTATGACACAACAAACGTTTACTGGTGTGTTCATTTGTTGGTATGAAATGAAGTGGATGCTAATGGCAGCGATCATAATGAAATGACGGATGTTGGCAGCCTTCATGTCTCAGTGGGATTTAGTAAAAGCAGGATCGTGTTTGCCGATGAAAACCGGAGCATGTGAATTCCTTGATGGGAACATTTACACTGGGTGGATTCCTTCGGTGACATTGATGCCACGGATTTGTTTGGATGTTGGTTTTGGCTCTTTATGCAGGTAATATTAAACCAAAGGCTCCTGGAAACAGCTTCTGTTTCAGCTCATGAGTAGTTGCCTGTGGCTTCAGGCTGAACGTTTCTTCTTTCTTGACGCTTCTGCTTCCTTTAAAGTGCAGCAGTGAAAAAGTGTACCTCCACATTTCCTTGCTGTCTGCCCTATTTAGGAAGCTCACCACTGCTCCATCAATACAGTCTTATCCCCTTACCTTATTAGAGCTCTCTGCATCCAGCCAGCTCAGAGCTAGGCCTCATCAGAGGACTTTTTCCCTGATGTGACTCATGAATAACAATTTTCAGACAGAGCTGAAATGATAGTTAATCGTATTCAGATTGCGGTGCTATTATGATGATGTGCCACTCAACATTCAGATACAGCCAGTGACCGTACAGCTCTCCCGGCTCCCTGTGCATGGCAGCATGAATAAACGCACTCTGGGCTTCAAGCGTATAGCGACTGACATGTCCTCTGCTCTCCCCAACACCACGTCTGCTCCTTCCCTCTGCCTGGATCTCTGCTCCTCTCCTTTTTCTCTAGCTGAATGTGGCTCATCCGTGACCGGCATGCAAGGGGTGCTGCTCTCCCCGAACTACCCTGGTTACTACGGCAACAACCACGAATGCATCTACTCTATCCAGACCCAGCCCGGCAAAGGCATCCAGCTAAGAGCACGGGACTTTAGACTGGAGGAGGATGACGTGCTTAAAGTACGTCAGCAGCATACAAGCGGCCTTGTTAGCATATATGCTTTCACACGCTCACTAAATCCTTTCTCACTCTGCCTCTCTTTAATCTTTCAGGTCTTTGATGGCAGCAGCAATCAGGCTCGTCTCCTGGGCGTGTTTTCAGTCAGCGAGCTTCTGGACACGACGTTAAACTCCACCTCCAGCTCCATGTGGCTGGAGTTCATCAGCAATGCAGAAAACACCAGTAAAGGCTTTGAGTTACACTTCACTAGTAAGTGGCGCGCTTTAGTCTCTTTCATTCACCTCTGGTTGTTAAAACTTTTATATATTTTTATTTCTACATGAAAAGAAAAAGTGGACTTCCCCACTGAAGTCTTGTCCTCTGTCCTCTCCTCCGCCCTCTGAAGGCTTTGAGCTGGTTAAATGTGAGGATCCAGGCGTTCCCCAGTTTGGCTTTAAGTTGGAGGACAAAGGTCATTTTGCAGGCAGCACCGTGTCGTACAGCTGTGACCCAGGCTACACCCTGAAGGGCCCTGAGGTTCTCACCTGCCTGAGGGGGGAGAGAAGGGCCTGGGACAGCCCACTTCCTCTGTGTGTGGGTGAGTTGCACACTTGTGAACATGCGGCTGACAGATTGTTCCAGCGTGGTGTAAGCAGCTCCACCATAGCTATAAACACGAGAATAAAAGACTCTTGTGTATCTTGTGGAATATCAGACAAGTAAAATCCTCCGGTGAACATTGTGACTACCCGACTGAGGGGATGTGACAAAACCAGGTTTCATCCTCATGCATGTGTGGAACACGACTACGCCAGTCTAATAACAACATGGTAAACGATAAATGACCCGCACTTGTATAGCGCTTCTCAGAGTAAGGACTCCAAAGCGCTTTACACTACAGTGTATCATTCATCCATTCACACACACATTCACACACTGATGGTGATGAGCTATGATGTAGCCACAGCTGCCCTGGGGCGCACTGACAGAGGCGAGGCTGCCGAGCACAGGCGCCACCGGTCCCTCCGACCACCACCAGCAGGCAAGGTGGGTTAAGTGTCTTGCCCAAGGACACAACAGCAGAATTCTCTGTCTCTCTGGAGCTGGGATCGAACCTGCAACCTTCCGATTACTGGACAATCGGCTCAAGCTGTTGAGCTACTGCCCCCAACATAGACATGTAAGACTTGTCATAAACTCCAGTGTTTACGGTTTGTTACAGTGTCTTCCTCACCGATGGGCGTGCATACTGCGGTGGTGATGAGGGTTATGCTGAAGAGTTACACCTCCAACAGGAACACACCAGTTATAGCGCAACTAAATCTAAACGATCACAATAGACACGGGGCGTTTACCCAGATGTTTGTTTACATCTGGGTACCAGTGCACGCAGCTGGAGCCTCTACATCGGCTATCTGTGATTCTAGCTCACAGATTTAGACATTAAATCATCTAACACATATGTGTGCAGATGATCAACAAAATTCCACCTCAGAGCTAACGGTGTTTAACGCAAGGCTTCCAGCTAACTGCCTGAGCAGAACTGGCTGCTAGTTTAGCACGGGGGTGTCTACGGTGATCAGGTTAACATGTTGGACTGCTGAAGCTAGCAATAATAATAAATCACTAACAAACTAAAGTGTCTACTTGTGCAGCCTACAGCTCTACATGTGTTAACCATACTGATACAGCTACTTTTACTGACAGCTGCTAGCTAACAACAGACTTACTTTTACGATCGTGCTGTTGTCCCAGGGCTGTGACAGGGCTTCCTCTGTAGCGGCCCCTAGGCTCTGGCCTTTGAGCATTAGGTCACTGTGGGGTTTGAAACCTCTTCTGATAACCTATTTTTATGATTTGGCTTTTAAATCAGCATGAGTCTTCTTAAGCTTTAGTTTTACGCATGTTTGTGTTGTTTTAAATTTCTGTGAAGCACTTTGGTCGGTTGTGTGCTGTTATAAGGTGCTTTATACATAAAGCCGCCTTGCCTCGTTGAGTTTTATTTGTTCTTTAATGCTTTCCGATCAAGAACATTGACTTATTATATAACTTGTGTTGCTGTTTTATCAGTTTTTATCCATTTTATTTTGTCTTGGTGTCAAAAAGACTGAGTTGAGTTGAGTGGTCAGCACAGGTGCCCTCCAGCCAGAAGCTGGCGGGCGGGAGCTTGGGCGTGTGACATCACGTGCGTATAGAGAGTATGATAACCTTAGGGTATGAGATCATCATTGTGTTTTATAGCTCTTGTATGTAAACATGGCAGCAGTGCTCTGATGCTGGTTAAAGTAAAAACTAACTTGGGGCTTTCGGTCAGAGGTCAGAGGATCGTTACTTTTCCTTACATCACTGCTTTAGTGAGTTAAGAAAGGCTAAAATGTTGCGTAATAGATGCTTCTACAGTATTTGGGAGTTTTATTTACTGCTCTCCTCCCTGATAATCCAACCAGCTTTAGCTCTCTCTGGTATGGCTGACCCATTTTCTCATTCTAATAGCAGGATAATTAGTGCAGGTTTAGAAAGGCTTTGAGGTGTATTTAACACATCCTGTTTTGGGCCATCCATTCACATCTTCAGTTCATTCAGGGCTTGATTTCATTTAGAACAGGCTGCTGTTTTTAGCTCCTAACGTTTGTGGCCTCGTTGCACCTAGCTTTTTCTGAATGTACATATTTATTTAAATGAAACAAATATTCCCATCTGACAGAACCCTGACCACAGGAGGCAGGATTAAAACTGAGCAGCAAAGGTTTTCTTCTAGCAAACCAAACCAAAGTGAAGAAAATGTACGTCTAGTCTCTATCATTCTCTTCTCGTTGTAATGCAGCCAGATAAATCTTTTGAGTCTTTTCCAGTCCACATTTTGGCAGTCTCTTTAAAGCCAGTCAAGGGAAAAATAAAAAGGCTAGACAGGTGTTCCTTGACATGCTGGCCAAGATGATTAGACTAGCATAGCTCAGCTCCCTTTTCAACCCTCACTGACAGGTGATTTTATGTCTGGTGTAAACAACGTTCACCATACAGTAGAACCCACACAACTCTGTCCTTTGACACGCTTTCACTACAGATGATATCTCAACAACTGGGTGAGGCTGTCATCCTGGGCCTTTTAACAGCCAAGACACGTAAAGTAAAGACAAATCAAACAAGCCCAAATGAATTAGCTGCATCCCATTGTGAGGTTGAGCAGCTCTGGAAGCTGAGTTAGGATTATCTTAAAGCATCTGATAACCCTAACCCCTACAAATATGATTAAAAGATAAATAATCCAATTAGTTCTCTGTGTTTGGTGATTGATACATGCGTGTTACGCACAGTGGTGGTAGAAACATATTTTACTAAAGGTTTTAGAGGTATTCAATAAAAGATGCATTTGTGTGAAGATTTAGAAAAAATTCTTCTGAACCTTTGTAATAACTTTAGTGAAACTCTCAGAAAGTATTCATTTCATGTGCATTAGGTAAAGCTGCAAGGGCAAGTCTGGAAAACAAGCTTGCTTCAAATTTTGTTTCATGCCTCTAACATAGTATAGCTATAAATGTGTAGTGAACATATCCATCCATCCATCCATCCATCCATCCATCCATCCATCAATCCGGAGTCGGGTCGCGGGGGCAGTAGCCTAAGGCGAGAGGCCCAGACTTCCCTCTCCCCAGCCACTTGGGCCAGCTCCTCCAGGGGAATCCCAAGGCGTTCCCTGGCCAGTTGAGAGACATAGTCCCTCCAGCGTGTCCTGGGTCTACCTTTAGGTCTCCTCCCGGTTGGACGTGCCCGGAAAACCTCACCAGGGAGGCGTCCAGGAGGCATCCTGACCAGATGCCTGAGCCAACTCAACTGGCTCCTCTCGATGTGGAGGAGCAGCGGGTCTACTCTGAGCCCCTCCCGGATGACCGAGCTTCTAACCCTTCTCTAAGGGAGAGCCCAGCCACTCTTTGGAGAAAACGCATTTCGTCTGCTTGTTTCCGCATTCTCATTCTTTTGGTCACCACCAAAAGCTCATGACCTTAGGTGAGGGTAGGAACGTAGATCGACCGGTAAATCGAGAGCTTTGCCTTCTGACTCAGCTCTCTCTTCACCACGACAGACCGGTACAACGCCTGCATCACTGCAGATGCAGCACCAATCTACCTATCGATCTCACACTCCAGTTTTCCCTCACTCGTGAACAAGACCCCGAGATACTTAAACTCCTCAACTTGGGGCAGGACCTCATCCCTGATCCGGAGAAGGCATTCTACCCTTTTCCGAATCAAGACCATGGTCTCAGATTTAGAAAAGCTGATTCTCATCCCAGCTGCTTCACACTCAGCTGTGAACCACTCCAGCGAAAGCTGAAGATCACGTTCTGATGAAGCCAGCAGGACTACATCATCTGCAAAAAGCAGAGACCTGATCCTCAGGCCACAAAAACGGATACCCTGCAAACCTTGGCTGCATCTAGAAATCCTGTCCATAAAGGTTATGAACAGAATCGGTGACAAAGGGCAGCCTTGGTGGAGTACAACTCTCACTGGGAACGAGCCCGACTTACTGCCAGCAATGCGTACCAGAGGGCCTGGTACCCCATACTCCCGGAGTACCCCCCACAGGGCCCCATGAGGGACGCGGTCAAACGCCTTCTCCAAATCCACGAACACATGTAGACTGGTTGGGCAAATGCCCACGCACCCTCCAGGATCCCCTTAAGGATATGGAGCTGGTCCAGTGTTCCACGGCCAGGACGAAAACCACATTGGTCCTCCTGAATCTGAGGTTCAACAATCTGATGGACCCTCCTCTCCAGAACCCCTGAATAGACCTTACCAGGAAGGCTCAGGAGTGTGATCCCCCTGTAGATGGAACACACCCTGCGGTCCCCCTTTTTAAACAAGGGGACCACCAACCCGGTCTGCCAGTCCAGTGGGACTGCCCCCAATGTCCACGCGATATTGCAGAGCCGCGTCAGCCATCACAGCCCCACAACATCCAGATCCTTAAGGAACTCCGGCCAGATCTGGGAGCAGCAGTAGCTTAACAGGTTGAGCGGATTGTCCAGTAATCGGAAGGTTGCAGGTTCGATACTGGCTCTGGACAGAGAATTCTGCTGTTGTGTCCTTGGGCGCCTGTGCTCGGCAGCCTCGCCTCTTTTAGTGCGCCGCAGGGCAGCTGTGGCTACATCGTAGCTCATCCCCACCAGTGTGTGAATGTGTGTGTGAATGGATGAATGATACACTGTAGTGTAAAGCGCTTTGGAGTCCTTACTCTGAGAGGCGCTATACAAGTGCGGGTCATCATCTCATCCAACCCCTGAGCCTTGCCACAGAGGAGCTTTCAAACCACCTCAGTGACCTCAGCACCAGAGATTTGAGAGGCCAACTCAAAGTCCCCTGCCTCTGCTTCCTCACTGGAAGACGTGTCAGTGGGATTGAGGAGGTTGTCGAAGTATTCTGCCCACCGATCCACAACGTCCTGAGTAGAGGTCAGCAGCACACCGTCTCCACTATAGATAGTGTTGGTTGCGCACTGCTTTCCCCCCCTGAGGCGCCGGATGGTGGACCAGAATCTCACCGAAGCTGCACGGAAGTCTTGCTCCATGGTCTCATCAAACTCCTCCCACCCGAG